TTCACTCCCAGCTTACCCAGGTGAACTAGCCTGTGAGCTACATACATGATCCAGCGTTTTCTGGTAGCCAAGATTTTTTTTTTCAAATTAAAGCTCTGTAATTGCAAAATTATTGATAGTTGGGTTTTGGGCATATATTTCAACCCAATCCCTCCACCTTTGTCAACTTCCCTCCACCTGTTCCCCGCTCATTCCAACCTGGCCTGTCACCTTGACAGGCACATTACAGAGTTTCAGTGGTTGCAGCTGAGAACTCATGTTTTCAGTTTTGTTGAGCCTGTGTTTAGGGTAGATGGTTGTACCACTCACCAGTATCATCTGGTAGCCACATTTCTTAAAAAGTAAAATTAATGTTAGATGTTTTTGTTGGTTGTTTGTTTTGCAGGGTGGGGAGCGTTTCCCTGGCAGTGCTTAGGTACTGCCCTTGGGTTGTTCACAGAGTTTACTCCAGGTACTGCTTAGGAAACCATGAAAGAAAAAGAAAAGCTAGCATATGGTCCCTGGGGCAGTTTCCAGAGCCCTGGTTGCATGTTTTATCTCAGAATATCCAAAACAATATCTTTTTTTATTCAAGCTTTGGGTTCTTTTGAGTTGTTTTTTTGTTTGTTTTTTGTTTTTTTATTTTGTTTGTTTTGTTTGCTTTTTGGGTCACATCCGGTGATGCTCAGGGGTTACTCCTGGCTCATTCAGTTAGGAATTAACTTCCAGCGGTGCTCTGGGGACCATATGGGATACTGGGAATCGAACCAGGGTCGGCCGTGTGCAAGGCAAACACCCTACCCAACTGTGCTATCGCTCCAGTCCAGTATCTTTTTTTTTTAATGTGTTATAAATAATTGTAAAGTACTAGTGAGATATTTTTATGTATTCCTCAGACTAAGTCTCTGAAGATAGGTGTGTTTTATTATTATAGCACTTGACTCCGATGCAGAATTTTCATTGGAAATATTTTATGTGTACTTGACTTGATGTGTACTTGGTTAATTTATGTCGAGAGTGGGTGTTTGTGTTGCACCTGACTGGGCTTCCTTTTGGCTCTGTGCTCAGGAATCAAACCTGGTGGTGCTCAGGGCCCATATGCTGTGCCAGGGTTGGAACCCGGGATCCGTACGGCAAACACCTTCACCCCTGCTGTATCTCTCCAGGCCCATAGATTACAGACTATTTAGAGGTAGTAAAGTAAAATAACTAACCCAGGAATTTTCAGCTATTCTTAAATATTTCCCACAAGGCAACTATTGATTTATAGATTTATATTGAGATAGTAATTAAAATAATCATTAATAATACATTCAAATAATTAACTAAAGTTAAATATTTAGTGTCCTTTTTTTCTGTACTCACTCACATTCTCTGTGTTCAGGGTTCTACATTGTTCCTAGTGGCTGTCATATTGGATCTCAGTGCTGTAGATTATTCTTTTTTCATTTTATTTTTATAAAGTTGTTCACAATATTTAATTGCATTTAATATTTGAACATCAATCCCACCACCATCACACCTTCCTACCACCATATTTTCATCCTGAACCCGAAAACCTGCGCCCAAAGCAGAAACAAAATAATTTAAATTCTATTGCTAGTTATGCATAAGCCACTAAAAATGAGACAGAAAAGGTTTCTCAGAGGATAGTGTGTGAAGACTGTTGAATTTCATCCAGGAGCCATTAAGCCCTTCTATACGAGATTAGTAACATGTTGTTAAAGGTTGGGCCTTGTGTAATTATCTGTGTATTTGTATAAATGTATTTCCCCCTAAGATTGGTTGCCTTCTACTATAATCTCAATCAAATGTTGTGTGCTACTCTTGGTATACGATCGGAGAGCCCAGCAAGCTACCGAGAGTATTCGATATGCCAGACACAGTAACAACAAAGTCTCCAATGGAGACGTTACTGGGCCCGCTTGAGCAAATTGACGATCAACGGGAGGGCCTTTACCTTTACCTTTACTCTTGGTATATTGGTGGTGTAAAATACGAGATGTAGCTGCTGTGTGGTTTAGGAATAGATTCACTCCTGGGTGAGGCTGGTGGGAAAGCAGCCCTGAGCAGGTTTTTGGCCGCCTGGTCTGGCTTCGTTGGGGCAGGGAGGGGAACTCACCTGCTCACTCCGGGTTGTCCGGAAAGAAACAGCCTGGTGATGGGTCCGGTGGCATCTCTGTAGTGTATCCCGTAGACTATTCTTAAAACAATGCCTATGTGCATTTGTGTTTTCCGACCTCTGTTTGTATCAAATCAATTCATGCTTAATCTACATCTTCAGAAGCTGGTTTACTAGATTAGATTGATTCCTCAGTATCTATAAGCCTTGAGAAAAATAACTGCACATCTAGGCTTCATCCCAGGACTAGGGAGTGACTTGCACATTGTAGGGACTTTACAAAGGTTCCCTCACTAAATCCTATTTAGTCCCCAAATTGCCACAAACATTTTATCATTGTTTCCTGACTCTGCCCTTACACATTTTCCTTTATTATATCTTCTCAGAGAGCCAAGTTATTTTTCTCTAGAAAATACCACTCAAACACTATTTAGAGAAACTAATTCTGCAATTTATATCAGTATCTCCTGCTAGCCTGTATGTTCTATGACAAGGGGAATTGTGTTCTTAGCATAATGCCTGGCTAATGGCAAGGATGGATTAAACATGGATCATATCAATATGAAGTGAGAGCAGAAAGTCTAGTTATTACAGAAGTTGGCCATTTTTTTAATTGGGGAAAAGCTTTTCTTTTGAAGGCTTATTGCACTAAAAAGTGTGTAGGATTTTAATTCAAGAGTTTTCAAAATACTTCTGTGACTCTGCTTTCTCTGTATCTTATTGGCTTTATTTTTTGAAACAGCTATCACCTTATCTCTGTTCTTGCTTCTAACTTAAGAAAACTAAGAAAAGGAAGAAAATTGGGCTATGAAACGCTTTTAAGGAGACAAGAAAGATAAGGTTGAAGGCGGGAAGCATGGAGGAAGCTTCACCTCTTGTTATTTCAGAACAGTTTCAAACAAACCCACCCTTATTCTATTATGCCAGAGTAATGAGCCTTACCCACTGCATGGGGAAATATAATTAAAAATGTACCGTGAACCAGGAGACCAGGTTGTCGGGTCATTATCTGAATCATAAACTTTGGAAGTAGTGGCCATTAGAGGTTACTAGTTTGGAAAGGTTAAATTAGAATTTAGTCTTTGCAAACATCAAGTCTCTCAGTTTGAATGATGCTTTTGAAAGAGAAGGACTCTTGGCATTTGACTTTCTCTTGTAATGTCTCCTGAAAGGGGACCAAGCACACAGAAATGAGCTCAGAGGGTACAGCTTGGTGCCTTGTCCCATCCGCCCCATCAGGACACCCTAGAGCCCAGAGACTTGTTCTGGCTTGCCCTTTTTCTGCCCTCCACAATAAACTTCTCTATTCAGATAAATATATTTTTCTGGTTTTTTTGGGGGAGGGGAGGGATACTTTATAGAGATGCAGTCATACACTATCTGCACTTGAATTAATGCAGTAAATGATTCCATGTGGCATTCCTGATAGCAAGTCTTTGAAAACAGGGTCAGTTTTCAGTTTTGCCTTTTATGGATCTAATGTGGTAGCCTGTAATTCACCATTTAGTTCTTCATCATTCTTTTAAGACATTTTCTGTGCAAAGTATATGTGAATATGTGTGCTTATATAATAAATATGTGTGCTTTTAAGATGCTTTGTCAGAACCTGGAGGGATGGTCCAGTGTGCAGGGTGCTGACCCTGCATGAGGCTGACCAGCTTCCATTCCTGGCGGCCCCTGTGCACCCTCTGAGCCCCTGAGCACTTCAGGGTGTGTCCTCTAAAAGCCAAAAGGATTTTTAAAAAGTGTAGTCTCACAATGGAGACATTACTGGGCCCACTTGAGTGAATTGATGAACAACGGGAGGACAGTGCAGTACAGTGCAGTGCAGTTAGTCAGACTGGATCAGGCCGTCTGATCCTTTGCCTGTTGTCTGCTTCTCAGGGATTTGTTTTGAAGCTCTTCAGGAGTCAGTTTGTATAGATCCACTTAGATTTTCCTAATGGTGACATTATTTTCCATCCCATGGATATATCACAAGTTAATGATCCTACTCTTCACTGAACAACAGTTTGCTTGTTACTGATCTTGGGCTTTTAGATCAATAGAATCTACGTGAATGGATATGCATAATGAATTCTTAGAAATAGTTGTTGAGAAATATTCTGTATTCTGAATTTTCTGTGATTTCTAAATGACCCTTCAAAGAGTTTTTCTAGTTTTTATTTCCACCAACAAGATTTGAAAATTCCTATTTACAGGATCCTTGTGTTATATTTTCAAGTCTGTTATTTTATTTCCTTCTAACAGAGGAAACCCAGTACATTGCTATAACTGATTTTTGTGTTTGGGTTTGTTTCGAGTAGGATTAGTTACATGTGTACTACTCCTGGGACTTGTGTCTGTTCTTTGCTTATTTTGCAACTGGCTTGTTCATGTTTTTTCTTAAGAATTTGAAGGAACTTTTTCCTCTTTCTACTAAGAGCTCTTTTATGCTTTCCTTTGTATTAAAGTTTTTTCAGGTCTTTTTCTTTTTTCTTTTTTTTTTCTTTTTGCTTTTACTGTGTAGATAGCCATTGTGGTTTTTCTAAACAGAAGGTTTAAATTTGTGTATAGTAAAAGGTACCAGTTTTTACCTTATTAACTTCTGTGTTATGTGGATTAATAAAAAAGTTAACTTCAGAGTGTGGAATGGGGTGGGGATTGGGGGGAAGAAAGTAGGGAAAGAACTGAAACTGGTAAGGGCATAATAAGCAAGAAATGTTTGTGGGAAATGGGAATATGCAGGAATTCAAATTTTAGCCAAAAGTTGTATAACCATTATAAACAGAAAATTAAGCATTACACGCCAACATTTATTATTTGAATGGCTTCTAGAAGGAGTTTTCAATGCTATGAGGGTTTTTATTTTATGTTTTGTTATGAAATTTTAATTTCTCATATGATTTTCTCTTTCCAGATTTCAGCTTATAACTTGTTTCCTGCACTGTTGCTGACATCTGGGGAATCCATGTCAGAAGTACTTCCAGGTCAGATACACATTTATATGTTTCAATGCAAAGAAGCTGTTGAATATTAAAATTTTAACATAGGTATGTGAGATAGATCATTTTTTTGATGATGTTCACTGTCACTGTCCTCCCGTTGTTCATCGATTTGCTCAAGAGGGCCCAGTAACATTGTGAGACTTGTTGTTACTGTGTTTGGCATATCAAATATGTCACAATGATGTTAAACTTAAAAATTTTCAAAATCAGCAAGTGTTGGCTGTTTATTGTCCTTCATTCTTGTAACAGAAGAAGGAATCGTTTCCAGTGAGATAGAGGAATCCATTGAACCACACTGTATTCATTGCCTGTGTCTATTAATATAATCTGAAGATGTTTTAGTTGACTGTAACAGGAAATTAAAACTCTGCCAAAATTTGCCATCTAGCATTACACATTACAGCCTGTGATCTGTTAAAAGTGAGCGAAGGGGGTGTTGGTGTGGAGTGTCTGTAAGCAGCGGCTGAGATGAAGTAGGGTTTGTTTAGAAGAGTGTGCCCTAATTTAGACTGCTATTAATTTTAGATCTAAAGAAGACTGCCTTAGTTTACTCTGTGCTCCTTTCTTTGAGTCATAATGGATGCTAGACTTGACACAATGTAGCATAGGATTTCATTCTTCTCCTCCCAGCAATATAATAAGGATCAAACCTTTGAGATAATGTTTTCAATGAAACCCAATACAACAAAGGATCTGGATCAGTTCCTGATTTGCTAGGACACATACCACTCAGCTACTCTGAGTTTATAATTTATTCATCTATCGGGGTCCAGGGAAAGGAGGGGGCTCAGGAGTCCCAGCCCCTCCCTGCAGTTCTCCACCAGACTGGTGGTTTACTGTGAGGACCCTGCAGTGCTGAGGATTTGCCTGGGCCACCCTGGTGGTGCTTAGGGGTCTTCAGGGCCAGGAGTGTGGGGAAATCTCCAGAACTGCACCCAGAGATGCTTGGAGGACCGCGTGTTCCAGCGATGGAACTAGTGTCAGCTTCCGGAAAGGAAGTGTCTTAACTGCTGAACTAACAACCCAGGTCTTCCTTGGAGAGTTGTTTATTTGTTTGTTTTTTGGTGGGAGGAAGAGAATTGGGACACACTTGGCAGTGGTTAGGGACTACTTCCTGACTCTGTGCCCAGGAATGACCCCTGGCAATGGGGTCATGGGGTCAGTGGGATGCAAGGCAAGCACCGTAAGCCCTGTGCTATCTCTCTGATCCCTGTTATGACTTTTTGAATAAGTGCATTTAAACCATTGTACAAAAAGTTATTACTGGTTCTAAATTCTGAAATTGAGCTGATTGCATATATTTAGGTCTTTTTCATGTAACATTGTGCAATTTTAACAGAACTAAAATTAAACAAAATAAAATAAACAGTAAGCTTGGCAGAAGTATGTGAGTGGCAGGAAATAGTCTTTTTATTAAAACATCTGAAAACAATATGAGAGGCCTAAGTTCACATAGGAAAATTAGAAAATTAGATGTGATTCTCTGAAGTCACTTAACCACGCTGTGATAATTTGGGCACAAGGAATAGAGTCCTTTAGTAAATATGTATTTGATTTGATATATTACATTTGAAAGATTAAAGGAAACACAGATGGCCTTTTAAAAATACATTTTAAAATAGTGAGAATGATTGCTTTTGGGAATTCTTTGGCATTTGAAATATTTGATTATATTGCTAAGATAGATTTAGGTCAGGAGCTTTTTCTGAATAAGGCTGGCAAATTTATAAATAACGTGTTCCCTCTACTAATTAAGTGACTTTCAGAAATCTCTTATTTTCACAATACTTAAAATGTATTTATTCTTCCTATTGGCTTTCAGATAGTTTCGTTCCTTGGTAGTACTGTAATTAAGATCATCAAACTGTTATTTAGACTTGGTTTCTAGAACCATCTTTATTGCCATCAACTCCGTAGCTATAGAATGTGAGCATTTTATTGGAAAGCAGTATTTTTATTCCAGTGCCATTTTTCAGTGGGCTTTGTCTTTTTTTTTTTTCTTGAACTTTCAAGTGCCAGCTAGTGGCCCAGTAACAGATAAAGTTTCCTTGTGCAGCTCTCAAGAGTTGTGGCTAAAGGATCCTTAAGAAAGCAAACAACTTTCCAGGCCAGAGAGATAGTTGAGGGGTTAAAGCATCTGCCTTGTACCTCTGGTTAGATCCCTGGCATTGCATGAAGTCCCTGGACACTGTCAGGAGTGATTCCCATGAGTCCCTGAGCCAGGAGGAAACCCTGGACACTGTTGGATTTGGCCCCAGGAAACAAAATCAAAGATGCCACTTTATAGTAGGAGTTTCTTCTCCAAGGGCTTAGCTTGCAACCTAGTCCAGTAATAACCAAAGTCCCATGTTTCAGCATTTGACCACTGCTTGATTTCTTCCCTTTAGAAATTGATTTGAGGCCTAGTTTATGGAGCAGTGCAAGCAAATGTATATTCCTTTTTTTGTAACTCACTGATATTTTTTATATGTAAACCATATTCTCAAACTTAAATCATGCCCCATGTTCATTAATCTTGGTATTAAAGTTTATATTTCAAGAGATATTCATCATGTCAAGACCTTGAGACTCTTTGAAACAATGAAAGTTGTTCAAAACCTGAGCAGAGAAATAGGTTTGGGAGAAGTGCAGGCTGTTCCCACATAATTATTTCAGAAGTTTTAATTCTTAGGTGAATGAATCACAGTCTCTGGCATATGCTTCCAACATAGGCAGCTGCCACATCTGTCGGGGTGACGTCAGGACCCCAGGTGTTGGCCCATCTGGAGTGTCTTCTCTTCCTCATTTACTCATGTGCTCCCACTTGCCCTTCCACACCTGACTCCACTGTCCCTGTCCTAGGAAGCCATCCTTGACCTTCTCCCCTCGTCCCTCCCACCTTCTCCTAGAGCCCTCTGCCTGCAGTACTCCTAACAAGACAAGCCGTCATAGCATATGCATCTCACTGTCCAATAAGACTTTTTAATTTTTGATAGGGAGGTTGTGTGGGGGGCTCCCAAGCTGTGCTTGGGAAGTTGGGGGCCCTACCTGCAGTTCTTTCACTCCTGGCGGTACTCGAGGGACTATATGGGATGCCAGGGATCGAACCCAGGTCTGCCATGTGCAAGGCAAATACCCTACCCACTGTGCTATTGCTCCGGCCCCCTACCTGCAGTTCTTGGTCAATTGAGCAGTTCAATTGAGACCCTTCGGTACTGGGAATAACTGGCCACCCCAGTAGCAGGGTGAGTCTGCAGGACCATGCCCAGAGGTGGTTGGGGACCTCTAAGGTTGTACTCCACTATGCTCTATGGCGGTGAGAATTGAACCTGGGCACATGCTGGACTTACACCCCAGCCACTGTACTACTTCTCATTCTCAGGGGTGGGTTTCTTAAAGGAGAGCAGCTGCCTGTGAAGTTGTCCTTTCAGCTCTAGAAACATCCATGCTTCTCATCCTGCCATCTCATTACCTCAGTAGCCCCAGTGCCTCTTCCCCTTTGCCTCTTTTGTTCCTAGAGAAGTTCTTACCTTTTTTTTTTTTTTTGGTCACATGGAGAATTTACTTTTATGAGTGATTTCAGGAAACTAGCTAAATTTTGCCTCTCCTTCCTAAAAGAAAAAAAAAATCTGAGATTATTTTTCCCTCTTTATTTTTCAATTTCCTTAATACTCTGAGATCTAGTTCAAAAGGCAACATTGTTTTCAGGGTAAAAGTCCTAACGTTAACCTCTGTCTGGAAATAAAACTGGGAAGCAGAGAGACCGAAGTGAAAAGCACTCAGAGCTGATTTGGGGCAGGGGGTGATCTGGGACTTCCCCATCCATATGTCAGTTCCAGTCTCATGAGTATGATACGTGCCACAGAGGACCTGTTTCTACTGTACTTCATCTTCCATAGGGGCTGGAAGGCTCAGAAAAGGGCAGGAATGGGCAGGTTTAATCACAGAATTGGTGATCACTGGACTGTGAGTTTACCGCTCTGCTGGCATTCTTATGATTCTGTGTTGGAGGAAAGCTTTTGTTAGTCTTCAAATTATTTTATTTATTCATTCAATATGCCAAAAACAGTAACACGTAACAACTCACAATGGAGACATTACTGGTGCCCGCTCGAGCAAAATCGATGAACAACGGGGAGAACAGTGCTACAGATCATTTGATTTTTTTTTATTTTATTGAATCACAGTGAGATACCAGTTACAAAGTTGTTCATCATACAATGTTCCAACACCCGTCCCTTCACCAGTGTCCTTTTCCTACCAGTATCCCCAGTTTCCCTCCTACCCCACCTCCCTCTTTCTGCCTCTATGGTAGGCACTTCTCTCTCTCTCTCTCTCTCTCTCTCTCTCTCTCTCTCTGTCTCTCTGTCTCTCTCTCTCTCACCTCTCTCTTCCCTCTTTTGGGCTTTATGGTTTGCAATAAAGATACTGAACAGTTATCATTTGTATCTGTATATCCTTTTACGTACTTTCAATACTCTTCACACAGTTCTTCTCCGAAGTGATCATTTCCAACTATTACTTTTGTCATACGAGTCCCGTCCTGAAATTAAAGTGATGCTCTCACACAGTTTTGTCTAGGCTTCTTAAACAAAGCAAAAAAAAAAAAATCCCAATAACTTTGTGTCTTAACTAAGTTTCTTTCAGTAGCTTAAAGGAAGAAGCCAGCTCCAAGTGAATCAGCTTCGTAGTCCCCAATGGGGAAAAGTAATTGATGGATTCCACTTTCCGGAAGTTCCTATTTTCAGCAGGGCTCAGTTCAGGAATTCTAGCTATGCCAGGCAATTTGTTCCCTTCTCTCTCTCTCTTAACTTTGCCTGCTTATTCGTTAGGTTCACACAGGTTGTGTCTTGGTGGGGACCCTTTGAATCTCTCGTCTTAGCCTTGTCTGGTTTAACTAGGGAAAGAGAAACAGGAGCACATTTCTTCTGATCATTCTGGCAGAGTATTAGGTCTGGTGTGCCAGATGATTCCAGGTGATTCCTTGAACCAGGCCCAACCCC